ACTTGGATGCCATGAACCGTGAGGTTGATGACGTTCGTGCTAGTCAGTTGGATATCTCAAATGTCGTTGCTGATCTTAAAAATCATTTCGTTTCTCTGCAATGAGCATATGTGAAGATGGTCTTCAAGCACAACAAACGTAAGAAGTTAATGTATTGTGTTGGGATTGTTGGTGTTGTTACTGCGTCTGTGGTGACGTATTTGGTGTTTCAATAAAAAAAAATTATGTAGGTTGAAGAATTTCAATCTTGGGTTTGTGTTTTGGTGTGTTATTTATGTTGTTTAGTGTCAATATTAGTAGTAGATTTTGTGTGGATTGCTGGTATTAGTTTGTGATGTTAGTGTGTAGATTTGGTGGTGGTGTTGCCTGGGATGCTGATGGTCATCGTTTTTTTATGAAGTTTTTTGTCGATGATCTTTGTAATAGGTCATTGAATAACAGAAAGCGATGTAAACAAACCCATGGTTGTAATGTGTTTTAATATGGTATTATTATTAAAAAAAAATTGTCTTACACTTGTATCTGTATGTGTGCATGAGAGAAAGAAACATTTGGGTATTATATATGTTTCATCGACTGGGACGTGACCACAAGCCAAAGCAAAATGAATATACCTTCTTTATGCACATAGACAGGGACCACAAATTGTGCAGTTTGGGAAAAGGGACAAAAAAATACCTTTGCACACGATTGAATTTGTCTGCTTGTCTACAAACCTTTTTTGAAAAAAAAAAGGGGGGGGGGGGGGGGGGATCAAGTTTTCTAAAGATGGACTTTTTCATTTTGAATGGATTAAGTCACAAGTACCCTGTTTTTACAATGACTTAATTACCCCTACATTGAAATTTATCAATTTACTTTGTAATGACTTAATTACCCCTACATCCAAAATGGTCAATTTAATTTCTAATGACTAAAATGCCCCCACATCCAAAATGGTAAATTTAATTTGTAATGACTCAAATGCCCCCACATCCAAAAATGGTCAATATAATTTGTAATGACTAAAATGCCCCGACATAAAAAATGGTAAATTTAATTTCTAATGAATAAAATGCCCCTACATCCAAAAGTGGTAAATTTAATTTTTAATGACTAAAATGCCCCCACATCCAAAATGGTAAATTTAATTTGTAATGACTCAAATGCCCCCAAATCAGAAATGGTAAATTTACTTCGTAAGGGCTAAAATGCCCATAATACCCCTAAATATTTGTGGCACAGGATAACAATAACATACCATATAAACTTATTATGGGCTAAAATGCCCATAATACCCCTAAATATTTGTGACACGGGATAACAATAACATACCATATAACAACTTACCACACAACAAAACAACATAGTACACCATAAAAGAACATACAAAGATCATTTGTTTATTGAAACACACATTCACTACAAATAACAAACAATTATTTAATCCAAATCCATGGCCGTTGCAACATTGCTACCTTCACCTCCCACATTTTTTGCAAACTTCATTTTAATGATTCTTTCTGACTCCTTTCGCATTTTAGGCGGTTTAACATGCTTAACTCGAGCATTGACATTCACCCCTTCATCCCGTCCATTGACTCCCACCATCCGCTCTTCATCTCCAGGCTTATCCAAAGCATCAGTAGCATCTACCATTACCTCATCATCCCCAACTCTTGTAGCAACGTTTATAGACTCCTGCGTAGGTATAGTTTTTTGTTTCTTTGTTCCATTTTGTTTGGATGTCCCTACACCTTTACTACATGTAGCCTTGTTGTGTCCTTTCTCCTTGCATATGATACAAGAAACTTTCTTCCCTGCCTTGGAGGCGGTATGTTTTCCCATCCGTTCAGAAGCATCTCTTCTTCTCTTTATGGTTGGCCTGCATGGTATACGTCTTTTCAATGGAGGCAAAGGGGGTATCAAGTTAGTACAAGGCTACATATTTTTTCCATTCATCCCATGGATTGGCTGTTTGTAAGTATTATGGTATAATGCAGTCAAGTACATGTTGGGTTAGTGTCTAAGTCCACAACTATTTTGGTATGTACTTGACCCGATTATGAGCATGGTCCTTTTGGGTTGCCTTCACCATAGCAATATGTAGGATGAATTAAGGAGAGAAATGTTTAATTATGATTTATTAATATACTATGAGAATAATATATTAAAGGAGAAATCATATTGTTTAATTAATATTAGTCAATAATTAATTTTGTGGCTAAAAGAGATTAATTGAATATAGGGGACTATACTGCAATTATTGGATAGTTGAGTTATTGGGCTAGGGAAGGTTAAAGGAACAAGGGGTGAACAAAATTATGATGGGAGCCCATCATATTTTCGTTTATGGTATTATTCTAGAAGGTTCCATGGGCTGCTTAGAGTTTAAGCTATCCTTTAGGGTTTTAACTGAAACCCTAGCAGCCTACACAATTATATAAAGGACCCCTATGGCCCCAAAAACGTGTCTAATTAATTCCTTAGGGTTTCTAGACTTTTTTGGGTGCCTCTCTCCTTCTCTTCTTCATATAGTTGCTTAGTGGTGTTTGTGACTCCATTAGAGGTGCAACACTTGAGGCACTAAGCTTTCTGAAGCCAAGGATTAGATTGTTATTGTTGTATAACAATCGAATGTAATCTTTAAACCTTATTTCAGTTCATAATATGTTAGATCTAGGGTTTATAACTTTAGATATTCAATTGCATGTTCACTAGACAAACTAGATCCAAAAGCTATTAGGGTTTGCATGTACACCATAGGAATGATGTATTGCTCAAAACCCATCAGTACATTGGATCTACATATGGATCATCAAGTGTCATATTTAAGTAGGCTAAGGTGGAAACTGAGTGTACGTAGCCATATCCATTAAGTTGCTATAGCATGCAGCAACATTACTTTTTTTCAACATTCACAATAAACGCCTTGTCCATTTTACTTGCCTCAAACTTCATCCCCCCACAAGAAATGACATGCCAATTCCTACATATATAGATGAAAATGCCAAATATCATGAGATGTGAAGAGTAAAGTACTAATGTAATGGGATAAATGTACAAACCTTTACTCAGTCTGGAGCATATTCAACTGTATTCTGATATTTGGACAAACAGAATAACGATTCCATCCTTGTTCGGTTAGTTTCATAGTCACCATCCTTTGCATCACATATATACAAATGTCCTTTAACATGCTTATTATTGGTTTCTTTCGGGCATCCAAAAGCACACTATTAAAACTCTCTGAAAAACCCTTCTCTACTGACTCACAAGAATTATGAACTTTGAAAAAAGCCAAAGACCAAGTCTTTGGATCTCTATCTATAAGATGCACAACTGCTTCCGGATTTAATTTTCCAATCTCTTTCATAACTACATTAAATTGTGCTTCAGTTGTTGCCTTGCTCGCTTTCCAAAACAGATTTTCAAAGTTGGATCCACTAAATCTCTTTTTAAAATTCACATAGATATGTCTAGCACACTGCCTATGTTCAGCTGCTGAAAATACTTCCTTTACTGTCTCAATCAAACCCTAAATAAGTCACATTAATGTTTGAAATTAGAATAACAATAACTAAATTTAGAACATGCAGTAGTTTTGAACCATACCTTGTGTTGATCCGAAATTAGAACCAAACCATTACCATCATTCCAACATTGCAAATCTTCTGAAAGAGTTTCTAAGAACCATTTCCAATTCTCTTTGTTTTCCATAGAAACAACTACCCAAGCAATCGAGAATATTCCATTGTTAGCATCTCTACCCACAGCACAAAGCAACTCCCCTTGACAAAAAAATTTTAGAAAACAACCATCCAGGTTAATGATCCTCCTACATCCTCCCCTCCATCCCTCTTTTACTGAAGCAAAACATACGTATATTTTGCTGAAATAATTCTTACCATCAGTCATTGAATCAACAAAAATTTTAACTATGGATCCAGGATTTGATCTTCTAATCTCCTCACCATATGACCATAATCTTGCATAATTCTCAGCTATTGTGCCTTCAACTAGAGTCAATTCATACTTCTTGCCTATCCTACACTGACTCATACTCACATTAATCCTAAAATCAGTTTTTACCTCCTCTCTAAGCATTCAGACGCTCATCTGTTGATTGTTATAAAATTGGTGCTTAAAGTGGGTCCCTATCCATTTGTAAGTCACAATTGATCCGAATTTGAAATTCATTGCACAATTATGCTCACTGATAAGATATTTTATATGGAAAGACTTATCTTCACTCATCCAAGAACCCCAAAGCCTAAAAGTACATTTGTCATCACAACATTTGACAAGTAATCATCTAGTATCATTCTTAACAAAACATAATTGATAACCATTCGCGACAGGACTCTCAAACCTCATACCTAAAACAGGTTCCTGCTCCTTCCAATTGAGCTTATCATTGAAAATGTTTGGCAATTCAGGATAAACATCTTCATTGTCACATATGTCTTCTTCGAAAAACTCACCTGCACCTGCTTTCTCACCCATCTCTACCTGAATCTCATTACCCTTTACAAAAAATGAGGCTTCTGATGGTCATCCTCAGCATCATCAACATCCTCATCCTCGTCGTCATCATCGTCGCCATTCTCTTCCTCATCATTTGTGTCACCCACATCCCGATGCCCTATTGCAACTTCCTTAACCAGTCCTGCACCATCAAGTACTTCTTCCTCAACGTTACCAACAAACTCGTCTTTGTGTTCATCCAACCATTCCTGTATGTTGCTTTTCCCAAAATAGTCTACATACATAAGGAGTATAACACCACATTCATATGCAATTGGTATGAAGTCGTAATAATCGAGGTCATTGCAAATTAGAGTCAAACCTTTTGGAAAATCAATATTAGGTTGGCAATAATAGAGCTTCTCACACTTTTCCACAGTGAACCTTTCGATGAACGCAACACACCCATCCTTGTCCATTCCTGCGAAATCGATGTCCGGAAACCTCTGAGTAATTCCACCAGTGTAGTGTATGGGGTTTCTGGCGAACATTCCTTGGAAGTGGACATCTACTTGTACGAATACGGGTTCCATGCTTACGGATTCAGAAGCAGCTCACAAAAAAGGGTTTACCGATGAAGTGTTGAATAGTGGATGTAAAAGGGTTCTTTTAAAAAGCATATATTGATATTAAGAAGGAGGCGACTAATTAATGACATGACATAAGATGAAAGTCACAGTCAGCATCCTATTTAGTGTTAGTAGAAGGAGTTGGACTTAAAATGACCGGCTAACCCCTTCAAAATTGAAATAATGACTTAATCGACCCGACAAAGAGTAATTCGTTCCCTTATTAAGCTACAAAATAAGTTAAGTGGTTAAATGGGTCAACCCTAGAAACATTATAGGGTCTATACGTCATTTTCCCTTAATTTGTAAGTATTATAGTTTTTTTTTCTTATGTACTACAAAAATAAAACTATATAAAAGAGAATCTAATATATATATATATATATATATATATATATATATATATATATATATATATATAGGGTTAGGTTCATGTGAGACGGCTTAATTTTGTGAGACTGTGAGTCGTAATCATAGACACTCATTTAATAGATAAAACAAAAACATTTTTAAAATGCAAAATAATTGAAAATTTTTGAATTTTTTTTTTCCAATATTATTTTCGAAATATATATTTTTAAAAAAAAATTAAAAAAATACCAAAAAAAAATACAAAAAAATTACATTTTTACAAATTTTAGTAGAATATTTAAAATATTCTACATATCTGACAAATCTAGTAAAATATTCTAAACATTCTAAAAATCATATTAGAAATGTACAGTATAATATTCTATTAAAATATTTCACGTATTTAAAAAAAATAATAATAATTTTTTTATTATTTTTTTATTTTTTTAAATAAATAAAGTTCTAGAAATAATAATTAAAAAAAAACACCACATGCCAAAAAATAAAACTAACATGAGAGCCTAAAAAATAATAATTTTACTTTAAAACAAGTAAAAAAAAAAAAGTAAAATTGACACGAAAGACTCCAAAATAACAATTTCACCCTAAAACAAAAGGTAAGAAAATTACTTGCGAATCGCATAGGGCCCATATATCTTTCATTCCAAGATTATATGTTTATTTAAAACTTATGCATTAAAATTATTATGCAAAATCATGGAACTCTATTATTTGGTCTTTGGTATTGTTTCATATCAGTTAAATAAAAAAACTACTTTATATCGACATTCTATTGTGTCATTCATTACAAAGATAAAAATGTAGTAGGGAATGAAAGTGAAATATGGTTGTGATTTAAGGCCTCATAATGCAAAAAAAAAGTTATTTGGTTATGACCTAGACTAACATGATTCAACTTTTCACCTTATTCCTTTTACATATATAATTATGTCTTTTGAACATATCTTAATGGATTTATTTTCTTTTTGTGCTAAGTAGGGAAATATGCTCGAGTACGGATATATATAATAAAACTTGAACAAAAACCCATGTTTTGAAAATCAGACCGAATCGACTAGTTCGACCGGTTCAACCAGAACCAGTTCTTAAAGACCAAAAAACTGATATTCATGTGAACCAGTAAAAACCGGTCCGGTTGAACCTGTAAAACCGGTCAAAACCGGGAATTTTAAAAACCGATAATTCCATTCCACCATAGATGCAAATAAAAGACAAACATTGACATCATAGATGCATAGAAAAGACAAAATACTCACTCTCACGCACATACTATAAATATAATAACATAATTATGGAAACACCACACTCACTTTTTCATTGGATTCACCTACCTTTGTTCAACATTAACTTGATCATTAGAATGTATTTTTGGGACATCCT